CTGAAAAAAGTACCAGCACACGTGCCTTAAAGTTATTACTTTAAACTGTTAATAGCTTCCGAAATATTGGTCCAAAGGTTGTTATGGATTAGTCATTATCTTATTAAGATCTACATATCTATTTAAACTAATTTATGTTGTCATTTGAAATAATAATATTGACATCCTTATAAGGTATAAAAAATGATAAAATAAAAATTAATAATTGTGGCTAATATTATTTAAAATTACAAATATTAAATTTTAATATAAGAGAAGTACATATAATATATTTCATGTTGATAAATTGAGAAAAACAAGAGTAAAAATAGATTTAATCTGACAGTGATTAAAATCACTATCATAAGAAACGCTTCGATGCAAATCTGTAGATAGTGTTTAATTTTAAAAAATTGATGGATAATTGCAAAATTAACATCAACTTCTATTAAAATAAAATACAAAACCCATAATTTGAATACAAAAATAGCATATTTTTGAATACGGCAGCCATTTGCGTATAAAAGATAGGTCGTCGGGACAAATTTTTTTTTTTCATTTTGTAGTACATAAAATAAGCTTTAATTTTATATATGTTTGAAGGACGCAGTATTTCCGGAACATTTTCAAAAATTAAGTTGAAAAAGTTCATTTTTGTAAAAAAGTTACTATTTTAAATCCCCCCAGTGAACAGAATAAGTGTTAGATTTTCAAAAAAAATTATATCAAATGAAAGGGAAATATCTAAGGTTTCAATACAAGAAAATATTATTTTTATTTGTTAATTTTTGAAAAAGTTATGACAGTTTTAAGCACAAAAAACATTCCGATAAAAGGTAATATTTATCGCAAACATTACATTTTTTTTTAATTTTCGACAGCCATTTGCACATAGAAGATAGATCGTCGGGACAAATTTTTTTTTTTTATTTTATAGTACATATAATAAGCTTTAATTTTATATATGTTTAAAGGACGCAGTATTTCCGGAACACTTTCAAAAGTTAAGTTGAAAAAGTTCTATATTTTTTACAATATTTCAACATTTGAACGCGTCCTATATAAGGGGAAATTGTCCAATTTTAATAAAAAGTATGTCAAATGAAAGATGTACTTATAATGTATTTAGAAAACAAAAATTGTGCTGATATATACATTTTTCAAAAAGTTATAGCATTTTTAAGTTGAAAATTAAAAATCGAAAATCGAAAATTTTAACACAAAAATAGTGTTTTTTTAACTACGGCAGCCGTTTAAATGTAGAAAAAAAAGTGTCGGGACAAATTTTTTTTTTTCATTTTATAGTACATAAAATAAGCTTTAATTTGATATATGTTTAAAGGACGCAGTATTTCCGGAACATTTTCAAAAATTAAGTTGAAAAAGTTAATTTTTGTAAAAAAGTTGCTATTTTAAATCCCCCCTAATGAGCAGGTTAAGTGATAGATTTTCAAAAAAATGATATCAAATGAAAGGTAAATATCTAAGGTTTTAGTATAAAAAAAAATTATGTTGATTTGTTGATTTTTCAAAAAGTTATGGAAGTTTTAAGAAAAAAAAGTGAAAAAATTTCGAAAATTAGCGATTTTTAAATTTGTAATTTTTTTGGATATTTCCCCCATTTGCGGGGAACGAGGGAATTTTTTTCAATTTTTAAGGGTAATGTCTTCAACTAGATACGATTTGTGATCTTTTGACGTATTTTTGAAAGAAATCGGTCCAGTGAGAGCTGAGAAAAAGTGGCAACAGACATAAAAAAAAAAAAAACACATCATAGTAAAATTAATACCTTCTCCGCTTCGCATCGAAGCTAAAAATAGATTAATTATCAACAAGTATTAACATATATTTTTATAAATTAATTAAATACTTCATAATAAAAAAATCACCCTGCCTATATATAAATTAGATATTTTGTTGGATTTATACATAGGTATATTTGTTTGTTTTGAAAAAATTCTGGGGAGAAGGTCAGACGTCTTGGACCCCCTCTCATAGATACGACCTTGTGCGCTTATAATACACACACATAATTACACACCTTGATTATAAAAATATAATTAACTTATTCTTGACAAAATAAAATGTTTGCAGGGTCGCTGATGTCAAATTTTATATGACCTTTTTTTGATCATTACTTTTGATGTATCTTTTTCATAAAATTACAGATAGTTACTAGGATAATCACATATTTTTATATACCATCCATCTTGTATATGTATTAAACATATACATTTAAGTATCAGTCTCATTACTTGATTGTGTGATAGTGTAATTTTACTTTATTTGCAAGAGGCAAACTATATTTTAAACTAACGCAGTCGTTCATATTTTATTGATACAGTTATAATTTTCAAATAAAACACAGGTAACGTATTTCAAAGTGCAACAACATTGCATGCGCTATAGGTACACAAGTTCAGTGCAGTAAAAGAGATGATCACCGATTCGATTTAGATTAGAGTCGCATGCTAACGGCTGGTCTTACCTTCCACATTAGATGTTTCACATCAAAAAGATTTTAAAAAGTTTTTTGTCTCTAGACATATTTTCCAAGAAGCGATATGTCTCCCTTTCCCTTATTGGCACCTATGCATATTCTATAGATATATGAGTTCAGTTAGGGGAATAACTAAACAAAGAGGAAAAAGTCGCAAACAGCGGGGTCTGACCCGCTGTAATATAAGTTTCACATTAAAAGAATTGTTATTTTTGCTAATATTGTTTTTATAATTATAAAACAGGTTATTATTGTAGTGTATAAAATTATCGTATTTACTTGAATAATTAAAATTTTGGGTCAAATTATTAAAAAAAACTGTACTCGAAAGTACCGAATTAATGCTGATGTATCTAAAGAGAACTATTTTTGAAAAGTTATATTACTTCGCCCTCAATTTTAGCAATTAAATAATAATTATTAAATTATTTCATTGGAAATTACTTTACAGGCAAATTTAACATTTTCAAAAATAATAAGCTAATTATAAGATATGTATTATGTGTAATCATAAAAATTATACATGAATATACCACATATAAATGCAAATACAAATACATCAATGTATTAACTAATTTTGTATGCCCACCATTAAAATTATAAGGCGTGTTAAAAATTGGCCATTTATATTAGACAATAAAATAGTTTTCATAACTTTAATTTATCACTCTGTAAACATATAAAATGTATGAATAGTTGTGTGTTAATATAAACTTTTCTTATCTTTAAGCCAATAAACATTTAACACCACCACAGCCTAAGATTTAAACGCGTGTCAGTCTAAAAAATTAATTTTTTAATGAAAAAAATACTTTAAATTGTGTAAATTATTGAAACTGACATTAACTCCATAGGAAATGATCTAAAAATTCCCATACGTCAGTATGATATTTTTAGTATACACTTTAATTTTACACATAAGTAGTATAATTTTGATATAATATATGGAAAACTTGTACACAAATATACATAAAATGCCTTAATAACTTTCAGTACATGTTTATAAAAATTTTTATATTTTTTTAAAAAGTGAACTGAAATAAAAACATTCATAATTATTTAAAAAACATTAAATTACTTTTTAAGTGATTTTAAGACACTCAATTATCAATCGAGTCAAAAGGTGACAAAGACTTTATTCTATAATTTAAATTATTATGATACATGCTTATTAAAATATTTTGTATGTTCATAATAACAGTATAAAAAAAAAAAAAATACTTAAATTTATTGAATTATATTAAAAAATAATGACTCATATTAAATCACTTATCCATTATGATATGAAAAATTAAAAAAAGTCATCATCACTATTAATTTAAAATTAATTTTTTAAGACACAATTACTAGATAAACTTATGTAAGTGAACAAAAGTAGTTTTATATTGTTATAATTAGGAAGATTGGTACTTAGTACTATTTTTAACAAATAAAACTTAGTTTAACATTTCAAATCATGTTATATTGTATTGCGATGGTTATTTATATTCAGGTCTCATAAATTCATACACCCTATAGAGAATAAAGTTTATTTTTTCAAATGGCAACATACATAATTAACTAATTTAAAAAATAGAAAATTATCTAATAAGGAAATTGGCAGATCGATAACTACTTTTGGATTAGTACTTTGAAAGTTTCTAATATTTTTAACCATAGTGAAAGAAAAAACAGGTCGAGAAATTTCTTCTGATAAAAGTACCAGCACACGTGCCTTAAAGTTATTACTTTACACTGTTAATAGCTTCCGAAAACTGGTCCAAAGGTTGTTATGGACCAGTCATTATCTTATTAAGAACCTCATAACTATTAAAACTATTTTATGTTGTTATATGAAATAATAATATTGACATCCTTATAAGGTATAAAAATGATAAAATAAAAGTTAATCATTGTGGCTAATATTATTTGAAATTAAAAATATTAATTTCAAGTATTATAAAATCGCTTTTAAAACTTTATCCAAACTGAACATTTGGCTATATTAATACTATGTTTTTGTTTTTTGTTAATTTGAGTTTTTCAACTTTTTTAATGTCAAATTTTAAGTTAAAGTAAGGTTTTAAAAGTGATCTCATAATATTTTTGGGTTCTATAATTAGTTTTTTAATGTGTCCTAAATAAAATACTTATAAATGAACTAATTAAAAAAATTACCAAAATCCGGAATTACACAAAAGTAAAACAATTATTTTATGAACATTTTATTGAAGATATTAAAAATTACTTTGGCTACGAAATGCTATTTAATAAATTTTAGTCATAATAATACTGCAAAGCATAAAATTTATTTTATTAATACTAAATAAATAAATAATATTATAAAAGTACAATAAGACAAGTGCTCTCTTCTGATTATAATTAATAGGTGTTTTTCGTGATTCATAATGATAAAAAAAGTGATTCTATTAAAATGTATTTTAATATTATATTTTTTATTTTTTTTTTTGTAATGCAATTTAGTCAAACACAATGGATACATCAAATAAACACAGAAATTATGTACAAAGAACATAAATATTAAATAGCCTTACATTATAATGTTTATCGATTTATAATAAAAATAAGAATTATAATAAGAAATTAAAAAAAGAAACTTAGAATTAATATAGCACAATAAAATACATAAATATAAAATAAATTAATTAATAGTAGAAATATTGTAGAAAGAAGTAAAGTATAGTATTTAGAACTCTAACGTTTTTGAAAAGAAAAAGAAAAACATAATGTCATAGACAAAAATATAAACTATACACGATTTTATACTTAAAAGTTAATAAAATAGGTACTTAAAGTATACAAGTATGCCAATACAAATTAACCTATTTTAAAAAATAACGGGTTGACAATAAAATTTTTTTAAAAAAATGAACAATAGAAATACGCATAGAATAATATAAATTGTATAAATTTGGAAATTTAATGGTTAGTTTAGTTTCAGAAATAATTTTTGACAAAAGATAGTTTTAATCAGTTATGTATTGACTATACATACTAAAATGATTCAGATAAATGACTACTTACAAATATTATACACTATAGGAACATTTTAAACTTATATAAAAATATAAGGGTTAGTAAAATATAACTACTAAATAAATATAAGTATAAATAAATAAAATATATTAATATTAATGGGTTATTCATTTGTAGAAATGTTTTTATTTGCTGATGTTTTTACTCCCTCCACCACAACAATACAATATTGACTACAAGTAGGTAAAAAATATAAATTCTAAAATTAGGTTAAAATTATTCAACAATCTAGGAGCTTGTACGTTACTAAAATGACTTTCTGCATAAGTGTCCATTTCAATCTAATCAAGTGGGTGAATTAATTTTACACAAAAAGTCACAAATAAGGGTACACAAGCGCCGAGATGCATGTGCTACAAACACAAAAAGCACTAGCCTGGGATTTCAGTAGATGGTATTTTTGGAATTACTCCTTGAACAATGATTTGATCTCGAAATTCCCGTCCATCCTTAGAAATTCGCATTTCGGGGATCTCGTAGTCTCTTGTGTCTAGTTTGTGGTGGTTATTGTGCCTTATTTTGTGTTCGCTGCGTTGCTGTTGATGTTCTTCGGTTTTCGGTGATGCTGCCATACCAGCTAAGTTTTGTTCAAAAGCGAATTTTGCATACTGGTATTGCATAGCATTGTGAGCTTCTGAATCTGGTACTTCGATAACTGCTACATCGATTATTGGATATCTTTGAATATTAAAACTTAATGTTTGTACTGAACTTATCGTTGACATATTCGGGTTTGTTTCGGTGTTGGACAAACCATAATCTTGTACGGCCTCCATTAAAAATCCAGGGATGGGTTTTAATTTAGCTAGAAATAGAAATGTTTGTTTAGTTAAAAAAAAAATTTATACAATATTTTTGTGAAGTCGAAAATCAATAAATTAATAAAAAATTAGTCTAAAGTATATTTTAAAATAATCGAACAAATAATTGAACAATAAAAACTTTTTAATCGATATCTAACATAAACACCAAAACGCATGTAAAATGAATTCAATATAACGTTAAACTTTTAACTGTATAATTCTGCATCAGAGAAATTAATAATTTTTATTACGTCAGATTATAATTTTTATTCCATTGTTATTTATTTTATGTATATCTGTATATATGTGCACTGAATATATCCTTTACAATTGTGTTTGGTTTAATTGAGTATTGTATTCACATTGATACATATAAATATGTTGTCACAGTATTGTTTTATATTTTAATGACTTAGATAATAGCAAAAATATTTACTCATTTGCACGTCTCCGGAGCAATTTATTGATCTGAAAAATCTGTGTACAGGAAGTACATTTCCTTCTTCGTCTTCAACTTCGATGCTTAAACCAAAGTTATGAAATGGTTCTCGACGCCAAAGCCTTACTGCACTTCGAATATTCCATTCTGTCCACTTTTCACCGTAGTAAGACATCATTCGACTATCTAACAATTTTCTCTTAACTGGAACAAAATATAAATAACAATGATTGTTTGTTTAAAAAATATATGAAAGCTAAAATAATATACTTTTCTTTTTTCTCAGTGATTTGGTGTAAGCGTAAACTGATACTCGGATTTGCTTTTCTTCCATTATTAAGGATGCAATTGCGGAATCTGATATATTAGTGGTTGATTTTTTTGTATTATCTTCCAAAAATATTGGAGCACAAATAGTTTGATCATCAGTCTAATCAATAAATAAATTGTATTATACAACGATTGTTTTATTGTATTACATAACCAAATTTAACGAAATTTGTAATTTGATAATTACCATACCTCGTTGTTCACTTGTGAATTACACGGAAGAAGTTGTTTATATAAACGTAATTTTGCTGTGTTTACATTGACTGTAATGCCATTAGAAGCTTTCGGCAAAGAAATGTTGAACATCAAGTTCATAGATTCTTTTGAGTTCCACACTTCTGAATTGGTGTTTTTGGGCAGTTCACCTATTCAACATACAAATATTAGAATTTCATTATTTCTACTTATGTCTAATATTACTTACATGTGGGATAAAAACTTTGTATTTTTTCTGTAAACATATCTGCTGGATAAGCTGGAAAACTTTTAACATTTTCATATAAAACACGAATAGCGTCTCTTTGCTGCGAAGAAGGAGATGGAATGGACTGCGTTCGTGATTTCATCGTTGAGCTGATTGGAGGTCGACCGGACAATCCTATAAAGTTGATTATTTGACTTTGGATAGACTTGAGCCTGAGTTCTTTGTTCCTATGATAAAAGGTTGATAATTATTTGTTGATAAATCAGAGAATATAAGTAAATTCATTTAATACAAGTTAATCGGCACNAGTAAATTCATTTAATACAAGTTAATCGTAAGAAAAATCAAACTCAGTTACACAGCAAAATAATATTATAGCTATTATGTTAATGAGTGATAGTATACGAGTAAAAATAAGAGTAGTAGACATGGCGTCAACAAAACATATTTTGGTTAGTGGTTCACACGGCGTCAGAAAATCACACGCTGCACACATTTACACTTACGGCTCCGATGATTCAACAGACTTATCCGTAGATTCTGCAAACTCAGTGCTGTGAATAAAATACAAAGTTTTTTGGAATTTAGTGTAAATATTTTAATTAATATAGTGGTCAGTGCGAAAAAAAAGTAACGTAGCTGTCTAGAGGCCGGTGGCCAGTATGCAACCCCTTCAAACGTACATCTAATGATAATAAAACATATTGCCAAAAATGTTGCACCAAGAGGCAATAAATTATACATTGTGAGATAACATTGCTCGTTGTCTTTACATTAAGCTTGATCTGGTCCACCCAAGGCCGAAAATTAAGTGCAGACAAAATATCCATTAAACAGGACCTCGCAATAACCAACGATGTGGATAGGGCAAGCCAGGTTTATTATAAACGCATCTCTGCTTTTGCTGGCGTGCACTTTGGGTGTTTGATTTTTTTTTTTTTTGGTCGCGTATTTATTGACCAGGTCCAAACGAAACCGAAAACGAAAAATAAAAACTGAAACCGACAAAACCTGTAATCGTTTAAAAAACCTCCAGGCAGACGCATTAAAATCCGTCTGGAAATGCAGTCGACAAGTGCATTTCCCCCTAAATTTTGATTTAAAATCAAATAAAAAATTGTGGTCCAGACGAATAAATTAAGAGCTTGAGTTAAACAGCAACAAAAAAAAAAAAAAATTAAAGATACAAAAACTGAACCACGATGTTGTTGATGTTATTACATTTTGTGTTTATAAGTGCACCCAGGGTAAAAAAAATTACCTAAGAAGTATTTATGTGTTAAGTAACTTGGAACGTTGGTTTATGGTATGAATATCAAAGTGGTCAAATTTTTTACAACCAAAAGTACTTGTAAAATTTTCGCCTTTAATTCTCTAGACTGTTTAATGGTTATTTATACAAACTCAAGGTTTATTTGGACAAAGCCAGTTTTGATTAGTAAAAAAAAGATTATTTACTAATAAAAAAATTAATTAAATGGCTTTTTCGGCAATCTGTTAAAATTTTATAATATTCAACACAAGTAAATCAATTTTTAATGATGCAGATTTCACAACATTTTTTACACCATTATTCCTGTATAATTTGCTTGATGGTATTTAAAAAAAAAAGTCTTGGATGGTGATCATATGTCAAAGCCCGTCACATCGAATTATTTTAAGTGCTGACTTGTTCATTTTTTCAGAATTTTCTTTTTTTAATTAAAATACTCGTAGAGAATGATTACCGCATATTTTTTTTTATTAAAAAAACACACCCGAGTCACCTATTCTTTTGAATGAAAGTTATAAATCTTAATGAATGAAATGTGACGATAATGTATATTATTATATTACTATAACTAGTTGTCAATGTAAAAAAAAAAAAGATAATTTGACTGTTTGTCTCTATATAAACACGACCAGCGCATAAAAAAATTATGTGTATGTGTGTATTTTTTATAGTCTCTTCTGGAAGACCAGACAACCGGAATTTAACTACGAATATATTAACGTCGGTTTTATTGTTGTAAAAACATCCCCGAATAAGTGCCACAGTGTCTTAGACAACATCAATTACCGTTGATGTAGGTTAGTTTTTAACATATATCTGTTTTATGAAGTAACCGTAATTATTAAATATAAATGATCATATTATTAAGCAGTATTGATTTTGACTAGAAAAAGTTTGCAGTTATTAAATTAAGCCATTCAGATGTATTGGATCAAAGATTTTTTATGTATACATTAAAATATATATATTGATCATATTATACGACAATATAAGGGGAAAAAAAATAATATTGTTTATGTATTTAAAATCAATAAGTTAAATTTAAAAACTAAAATTTAAAAAGTAACTTCATTGAGATTTTAGGTCATTAAATATAACATGGTTTCATAGTCTTGTATTTAGAGCATCTTCTGATTCATATACGTCATTAGACATTTATTTCTGTTTATCGGCCAAAACCCAAGTGTTTGCTTAATCCATTAGCGTTGCATTTTTTTCACACGTTATGTATAAATTATTTTTATTTGTTTGAGTTTAATTGGCTCTATTAAAAGTTCTATTCAAAATAAATTATTTTACAAAACAGATGGATAGCTTCAGCCTAGTCAATTGCTTCTAAAAATATCTTTCGAATTTTATTTGTTTTATTTTGTTAAGTGTTTTATGATCATTGGTATTTTTTTTTATCACAATCTCGCAAGCTAATGCATCCTATTAACTTCAAAAGACTAGCAAATTTTTGTTGGAAACTCACCAAATGGAGCTCATTTCTCAAACTAAACAAATCCTCCTCTTACACTGTGAACTGATGCTTAATTATACCCTTATAATAATATAATAATTATGTTTTTACCTTTCTCTGTGCATCTGAGGCGTCTCAGTTTCGATTATTTGATCGGAAGACGAATGAGGTTGTTCTGCTTGCGTTCCATTAACCATAGAAAAGTTGTACTCGTGCCGGTCGCTGGAGCTACCGGCAGGTGCATCTCCCAACATGGAGTCGTGGTCGGCAGATTGAGAAGGCATATTGGTAACGATTGCGATCAGTGCGGATTCCAAGGCATCAAGTTCTGGTTCCGGCAGTTGAGACAGGTGCCGAATCAACGTCTGACCAAACGACGAGTTGGGATCGGTCAGCCAATGTACGGGCACTGTGGGCATGACAATTTGTCCCGTTGCAGGTACAGGAGGAATTTCATCGGGAGGTTCGTTCAAATCCATAGGACGGGATTGACACGATGCAATCAACAGCCCTAAAATAAGAGGTACGAGTAGTAGCCGGTAACGTCGCAACGACAACATGACAACAGAAGAACAAAAATATCGGATAAAAAATATCGTCTACTATGAATAGTAATATTTTTCTAGAGAAAAAATTTAAATGTCCTTTGGCGATAAAAAATAACAAACGCTATTTTATAAAAACATGAAAAAAATATGAAAATTTCACGACAGACGTCTATGAACGTTGAGTGCGTTTTGGGCGATTGCACGCGTAGTTCTGGCGCGATACGGAGCTCAATGAAGAAGAAGACGCCACGACGATAGTGTGGCTGGGTCGTACCTCGTGGGCGCGGGCATTGGCGTGCGTGTGTAAAAAAGACTATACGGTGGTGCAAGTGTGCGTCGTCTATATGGTGTGTATGTGTGAGTAAATATATAGCTCAAGTAAACATAAACGACGGCGACACACCGCGGTGTCGTATGTACCCGCCACTGCCACCACCACCCTTAATCTTCTGTTCTTAACTATTTTTTAATACCGCCAATGTCCAATGAATACCTCCGTCCCACGTGGGACATCCAAAACGTTCCCTCCTCCCCACATCATCCTGACAATCGGGAGGCGGGACGACGTCTTGCCGACCGAGTAAGCGTCAGATTTCGACGGGCAGTACTTAACCTTATCCTCTAGTTATTTTAGTGTTTGCGAAATCCGCAATTTATTACTATGAAATTTAACATCATTAATTTTTTCTTCTCCGTTTTCATCATATTATTAATTAGTCATGAATTTCCGCAAACATATTACGTTATGGTTTGCTCTAATATAATATGTGATGAGATGGAAAAAATACTACTATAAAAAAAAAAATTGAAATTAGGAAACTATATTTTAATAATAACATGTAGGCTTGAGTGTAATGAAATTCAAACTTGTTCAATTTGTTCTCTCTCTCTCTGTGATAGAAATCTTCATTAATATATTTTTACTAGTGATCAAATTTTCATTAAATACATATTTCCATAATGATAACTTTGTACTGACAAAGGTTAAAAATTTTTTTTGAAATCTATTTTCATAATTTTTCATTGAACGTCATTAGTAAATTTCTCTCGAGTAGGGGCGTATTTAAAACTCATTTTAATGTTATGGCGATTTAATTTTCTTACTTTGATAGGCAAGTTAGAGAAAGCTTTTTTACTAAAAAACAAAGTGATGACCAAAGATGAAAATGTCTTAAGAACCATATTTCGTAACATCGGCTTTAAAAAATAGCACTGGTCGAGGGGGAGCGATTACTCATATTGCTCATCCCTATACTCAAATAGTTGATAAATTTTGGATGCTTAAGTACTTCGTTGCTTACTTCTCGCTAGTTCTATCAGTGTAGTTTTGACAAGTTACACTTGAGAAAATAAAAAAAAGTGATCGATTTTGAAATTAAAAATATTAATTTACCTGTCTTTGCTTAAAAAATATTATATTTATTCGAGAAAGGGGTATGTTGACATTTTTTCTTTAAATCCATAGAAAAAAAGCATTATAAAAATATTTCTATTCTAGTATATATAAATACAATTAATTCTTCAGCTTCTGATGATAAATAATAAAATGAAAATTGTAATATATCAATATTTTAGACTTCAAAAGTCTCTTTGTAAGTTCACTAATTTTAGTGAATGTGTAAAAAAGTAATTCTATTTATAATTAAAGTGTTAATAAAAAATAACTAATGGCTAATAAGATAATTACATTACTGATGCTAACATAATTATAAAATTGTAGACATGTATGACATTAACATAATGAGCTAAGATATTGTTATATAACAAACTTCCTTACACCTTAAAAAACTCTTTTACATTATATTTCAATATTGGAATAATAAAGCTACGGAATTAGTGTTAAAAAGTTTAATAATATTTACAATTTTTTCTAATAGTTTTGAGTTAATGACTTAGTTAAAAAAATTTCTTTTACTTTTTAGATATTAATCCAGGTTCGAACATCAAGAAATAATATACTCAACAATGCTTCAATAAAAGTATTAAAAACTGTTATAGTCGATTAGAATATTTTTAAATAAAAATTGTAAACATTTTTAATTTAAAATAATAAAAATATAAAAATGAACAAGGTTGTTAAACGAGAAACTAAATACGGTTATATTTTAATTTTATATAATTTTTCTCGTCTATTTAATGCAACTAAAGATTTGTCATTAAAAAATAAAGCTATTGGTAATTAAAAATTTTAAATTCTAAGGTAATTGCACTTAGTAAAACAAAGTATATGTAAAACGTTAAATTATATTATAACCGGCAAAATAATGTCTTGCTCTTAATTATAAATCTCTTTAATCAGCATTTAGTAAGCAGATGATTGTTTTTCCTTATTATAAAATATAATTATAATTTTAAAAAGCCCCAATGTAGAAAAAATAATTAAAATGTTAACAAGCTTATAATTTTTAAAATATATTTGAACTTGTTTAAAAAAAAAATACGGCTGATAAAACATATACAAAGTTAAGCTCTTATATGCCTATGTGATTTTTAAGAACTTTTGTTATCAATAAAATTTTAAATCAGTAGTAAGAAAAGTTACTAACACAATTAAAATACTCTCTTATATTTATTTTATAATTAATCGTAAATGTTTTATTGTTAAAAAATGTTTGTTCCATTGGCTTGTTGCCATACTTTATGTATGATTTGTATTATGTTACATACGACATTCTAAATTTGAGAAATGAGTTTTTATGCTCTGTAATGTTGACGTACTATATTATTTAAACATAATTAGTCTATTTTAGTAATTATCTGATACTTACTTATGACAGTGGTGTTGTAGTTGTTACTAAAGTTTTTCCATTAATACACTTAAAAATAGGCGCCAAGAGTTTTAATGAGCTCTATAGTTCCATATAGCAATTAAATATATAGTGTGATTTATTAAGTATACTACCCTCCAAATTTTTTTTTATAAATAATGATTCTTTCATAAAAATGTATAGGTTTATATTTTATTTATTTTTACATACTAAGCATTGTAAATAGCAAGTTTATTGCAAGAAAAAATTATTCTTTATTTTAGGGTAGTTTTTATGAGTAACTTTCAATTGTTAAAAGGGAAAGTTATTTTACTATAATATAAATAATGGTCTAAATAAAATTATGATTGGACGCTAAATAGTGTTGTATTATTATTTTTGGATTTGTTATAATTTTTAGTTTTGGGCGAGCAAGGTAGTCATATAGAAGATTTTTATTTGTACGTAATGGTAAAAATAGAACGTTACTAAACACTATACCACTCTTTAACCATTTTTAAATCTTCAAAATGGTAACATCTCAAAATGTAATTATACAAAACTGATAAACCGACCAGTTAAAATATAGTTTGGTCATTTTCTATTCAATAGTAAAAAAATAATAATAGTTATCATTTAATTTTCGAAAGATACCCCTAAAATGGACCCTAAAAACCAATTTATAATTAAATTTAACTTAATATTTACAATGGTATTAAAAATTAAATAAATTTTAATTTAAAAATGTTATGAAATATTTATTATTTAACAACAAATGAGAGGTAATAATAATAGTAATAATATTATAGAGTTTTTTTTATCAATTAGATTGTTGTGCTCTTTTTTTTTTTTAATAATTTTGTTGAGAATGCATTAATTAATTCTCAAAATAAATCATATTAACCAAAAAGGAAAGTTCATAATTATTCAATTAGATTGTTGTGCTCTTTTTTTTTTAGTAGTGTGCATTAAATGAGTTAGTTTATTAACATGATAAAATAACTTCAATTGAATGTAAACAAAATAAAAACTAATTTAAAATTTTTTCGTTTATCATTGTCAGTTAAGGGCGCAGAAAATTACTGAAGACACTAATTTTTATAAATATATAAGATCATCATTTAAATAAATTTATTTTATAAAAAAAAATGTTTCAATGAAACCATTAAATTATAATTAAATGTATTTAACTATTTTATTTTATAAAATTTTATTAAAAATAAGGAATAAAAGTTACAAGTTAACCTTTTGGAAGGTTATAATTATCTCCTAAAATAATATAAAATTTATAAAAATTTTAAATTAAGATAATTTTTTTATTGCGTTATTAAAAATAAAACATATTAAGTTAAAAAAAAAAAAAAAGATATTTTGTATCAGTATTGAAATTCTCAAACTGTTAAATTCAATATTAAGTTTTTTATTCGAGACCACAACAGCATGGTGTTTTAGGTTTAACTGACAACGCTTATAACTTTAGTTCAATTTTCATTTCATTGGTCTTAATTTTTTTTTCAATAGTTATTTTAATCTTAAACTACGTTTAAAGAATATTTCTTATTATAAATTACTAATAAGAAAAACATTTTTAAAATATATTTTTTAGTGACAAATAATAAAAAAATATTATTTGAATTTAGTCTAAGAAAGCAATTATTATTAAAAAAAAGAATTTTAATGAAACTCTGACTGGATAAAAAGTGTTGTTAGTTAGATCTGGGACAACTGTATAACAATAAAATTAGTTTGGAGATATATAAGTTATTTCATGGTCGTTGGTAAAAGAAATTGTTGAAAATATTTTATTTAGATGATTAAAAAATTTTACTGTCTTTTGCAAAATCATACACGTTTTTTATACCTNTAAAAGATTCATTCAAGTGACAAGTATTTTATGTATTTTTCGCGTACATTGCCTATATTAATTTGAAATTTGTTTATTTTATACTATTAAAAATGAGTAGTAGGAGGCGATTTGTAATTCTAATTGCTGTTAATTTGTTAAAAATATTCTAGAACATGGTATAAATTTTTATTGATGATTGGTGTTTGACACCAAGTCAAATACTAATTTATGAATACTCGTATTAATTAATCATATTATGTTTCAAAAATTATTTTTATTTACCATTTTGTTTGAGAAATTTTAGAAGAAATTAGATCAAAATTAGCAGAAACATGTTATTGTTTCCAATACATACACCAGACATCAAGTAAGTAACCTGTTGGATTTCAAAAAAAGGGATGAAAACCATTGACCAATATTTCTCCGAAATCTGTGGTATTATTAATTATGTTCTTATTATTTGCTAGTCGTTTTGATTTGGGTTGTACCTGATTTCCAAGAATTACACATTGAGGGAGAAGTAGTTTCGAATGAATCGCGAACAGTTGACAACTGCAACGTTTGCAGCAGACGTTCATTGAATAGTAGCTGTTGCTGATGCTGGTGAAAAATACAATTGATAAACGGTGGTTTTTCAACCGTGTGTGTTTAATTTTTAGACTGCATTTTTAAGGGTGTCGCGCCGGCGTTATTGTTGTTGTTGTTGTTGATATCGGTAGGTCATCACCGCCCCCGCTGTTAATATTTGGTAGACTTG